GGGGGGCCCGCCTATACCCCAGAGCTCTGAGAGGCCAAAGCAGGAGGGTCAAAAGTTTGAACCCAAACTGGGCGACTTTTAAGACTTTTGTCTCACAATTTTAGAAGAGGTGGGGACGGGGATGTAGCGAAGCCCAGAGACCCTGGGTTCACTTACCTGTATGGACTAAGTTACAGCTAAGCAGTGGAGGCGCGGAGGAGGGCAGTAGGTCACCCGAGGCTGGCCTGGGGGCCTGGAGAGCAGAAAGGGTGTGGTGTTCTGCCGCCCACTCCTCCTGCCCCCCTGGGGCCTTTCCTAATCTTGCACTTGTCATCCCAATTTCCTGTGGCTCTCAGTGTAGAAAAATTAACTTCCCAGAAGCCCTAGGTCGGTAGTGCCGGTCTCCTCTGCAGAGCGCGGCAGAGTGAGGCTGCAGGTCAGATCAGCCTTGTTGGTAAAAGCCCCATTCACCACATAGATAGATCCTGTCGCACTGAGGCAGCCTGCTCTGGAACCCGTAGCGGTAGAGCCCAAGGAGGGCGCCCTAGGTGCGTGGCTTCCAGCCCCGCGCAGCCCACACTGGGGGGGAGGAGAGTAGGGGCTGCCTTGGCCAGGCTGAGTGAGCTCCTTCCTCTACCTTCCCTGCTACCGGGCGCAGACTAGGCACACCAGCCTGCAGACTGTCCAGGCGCCTGTGTCCTGTCATCCCTTCAGCCAGCACGTGTTTATGCAGAGTCTGTTCTGGGCCAGGTACCTGCCTAGGCAGTGGTGGGCAAAACAAGGTCTCACCCCCTGAGCTTTCATGGGGTAGATAGACAGTAGGTGAATAATGAATATGTGAGTGATAACAAATGCGGGGGAAGGACAATAGACCTTGGCAGGCAGAATGACATTCATGGATGCTGTTTTACCTGCTGTGGTCCGAGAGTATCATTCTGATAGACTGGCTGCTGGGTGGGTGAAATTTTCAAAAGCTGTTTCCTGGGCAGAAACAGCAGGAACTGCTGGGCAGGCCTTGTGCACATGGTAGGGCTGTGTGGTCTCATGCCGAGTGTGAGGACCCCCTGGCAGCTGTGTGATGGGGCTTTGGCTGAGCAGAAGGCTCCACAGGCTCAAGAGTCCACACAAAGACAAGGAGACTGGCAGAGGTGATGGTACAGGCTGAGGTGCTGAGGTTCTGGGGTGCATTTTGGAAATTGGACTTCTAGGTTTGCTAGTGATGAGGTGCGAGGTGTGGGGCTTTAATTCTGGGTTGCTGTTTCCCTGAAGGAATGCATTTGTGTGGACCAATTGGTTTTCAGGGGCTTTTTGACAGCCAGATGCTGTGGGGCAGGTGTGTGTAAGGACAGCCTGAGGGGAGACCCCAGACTGGAGGTGGGAACTGGGGAGCTGCTTTCCAGGGGTGGTCTTTGAAGCCTTGGAGCTGAGCGAGCACACACACCTGAGCAGGGGCTGGGAGAAGATGTGGGTGTAAAGAAGCTGCTGTGGGGGAACCATCCAGAGGACATGAGCACTGACCTCTAGGCGTTACACCATAAAGGCCGCAAGTGAAACATGCGAGGGCTGCCCAGTGATACTGTGAGGACTGGAGTCCAATTGGAGTGGGCTCAGGGCCACAGAGGAGGAGACCATGCATACTACCACTCTTAAGCTCTGCTGGGATTGGGAGAGCTGGAGCAAGGTGGAAGTGGGCTCCAACAGCTTTCCTTACAGAAGGCAGAGAGGGCCAGATCCACAGGAGGAGGCAGGTGCAGGCACACTGACATGTGCTGGAAGCCCAGGCTGTTTGCTTGCTTCTCTGCCTCAGTGGATAAGAAGCAGAGTCATCAGGGAAGCGCTAATGCCAGGGTTGCAGAGTGGGGTGGTTTGGGCTCTGATGCTGCTCAGCAGCTGGTCCCTGGAGCAGCCTAGTGCCATGCTAGAGCCTTGGCCTACGAATCTGCATGTGAAGAGATCCGGGGACTTGGCTGCAGGGTAAGTTTGAGCAGCTTGGTCTGGGACACAGGTGCGTACACACGTCTGTGCCCATCCTGCCCACCACTTGCTGTGTTCCCTCCTATGAGAAGCCACTGTTTATGTGGGTAGAGCTGTTTTCCCCTCCAGAGGCAGAGTGGAGCAGCTGCAGCTTTAGATCCAATGTCCCAGTCTTGAGTATTTCCTGTCTGGCCTTTTACCATTCCAGGGGCCTTGGGCACAGAGCCAGAGGACCAGGACCAGGCTACCGAGTGGCACCAGGATTCTTGGAAGGAGCATCACTTGGCCACCCGGTTTCTTACTTGATGTGTATATGGGTGCCCTGGTTCTGATCCAAGGGCCACATATGGAGAACCCCACATCCCTTGTGAGATAGGGTGACCAGGCTTTAGGTCGGTGGCCATGAGCTTCACATTGGACTAGGCAACATGACCACACCAGCCAGCCTGAACTACCCAGAACAGTGGCCAACAGTAGAGTGAGAACTGGGTTTCCTCCCTCAGCCATTTCAGCCCTAGGAGAGGGGATAGACAAGCAGGACCTTGGCAGAGGCACAGGAAAGGACAGGGCAGGGCACAGTGGTGCCACAGCTAGTACCCAATGCAGTGGGATTGCTTCTCAGGAACTGGGCCTCTGGGGCTTCAGGTGGTCCCAGTGAGGAGTGGGACCCGAGGCTCCCTGTTTACTTCACTCTCATAATGATCCTTCAGAAAGGTGCCTCGGCCAGATGTGGTGGCACAGGCCTATAATCTTGGCACTCTGGGAGGCTGAGGCAAGAGGAGTACAAGGACACACTCAGCATGGGTAACACAGAGATTCAGTAAGACCCTGTATAAACATCAGAAAGTCTGGAGTTGTAGCTCACTGTGAAGGCCCTGAGTTCAATCCTCAGGATGGAGGAAAGGAAGAAAGAAAACAAACAAAAAAAAAAAGGAGAGAAGGAAAAGAGAAAAGAGAAGAGATTCCTTGTTTCTGCACCACCCCACCTGGCTCAAGGGTGGCTGTCAGGGATTAAGCCCATCCTGCCCAACCCTAGGACCTCGGGCTAACCACTCCCCTGGGGCTTGTACCATCTGGGTAGAGGGGCCCTTTATAAAGCTAGGGAAGGAGGTGAAAGTGTCCTTGCCACCTAATTTCACTCTTCCCTCCTGTCCTCTTGAGGGTAGCACTGTGTGACCCCCACAGTGACACCTTGGGCAGAAGATGCTGGTTGGAAAAGGCAGAAGGCGGCTCTTGCTCAAGTATTTCAGGTTGTGCAGCATCAGTGCAGACCAGCCTCAGCTTCCAGGGGCTCTGCTCACACCACACAGGGTGTCACCATCCTGGTGTCCACCCTACACTGGTTACCCCTCATAGCCGGCTGCCTATGTGTTGACAGGAGCATGGTGCTGGTGAAGGCTGTATGCTGCATGCTGGGTGTGGGGATGTGCAGAACCATTTGCAAGGAGTCCTGGGACCAGCAGTGGCTGGCCTGGGATGTGGCTGTGGAAAGGAGGCAAGGCCAGCTGCAGCTCAGACTTCAGGGCCCTGACCCGGCCTGGCCTGGCCTCACTGTCCTGAGGAGCAGCTGCCCATGCACTGCTGATCTTTGGTGGGGACAAGAGCCCGTCATCCTGCCTGTCGTGGGCATGATGTCATCTGTGTACACATTCCCGAGACACAGCAAGAGCAGGAGGAGCAGTGCACAGTGTCTTCCTCATTAGAGAGAGCAGGGTGTCATGTCTGTGCTCCCCACACTTTCTGGAATCCGAGTTTCTGACGTTCAAGAGGAATGAGAACTGTAGTAGCTAGTGCATCCTTGCGGCACTGAGAGGTGACACCAGCCGCCCAGAGGAGGAGGCTGCCCTCTTCTTGCTGCCATGCTGTCTGGCCCCACCACACTCCCCTGGCACTGGAGGGCAGAAGAGGTGTGGAAGAGGTGTCTGCACAGCTTCCAGGAAGGTCTCAGTCCTGCGTTGTCTGTGCAGAACTGACCCCTTCCTTGAACTATAAGGAGCCCCCAGGAACTGGTACTGCCTGCAAATTCCACAGAGCGCGCACACCAGTTTGTGTAAAACACTGAGCTGCTTGTGCTCTCCGACAAGCCTCATCCTTCTTTGTTTCCTGCCAACAACAGACCTTTGTCCCTGAGCAGCCCAAAAACAAGACCCAAGGATTATGAGGAGCTCAGGGCTGGCACAGTAGCCCCTGAGCTCCCTGTGTTTCCCTCAGGTGGAGCCTGCTGACTTGAACCCAGACTTTGCCTTCTTTTCCTTGGCAGGCAGGTCCAGAATGTCCACACCGGCCTTGACCTGTCTGTGCCCCAACACCAGGAAGTGCGGGGCAAGATGCTCTCTGGCCACGTGGAGTACCAGATCCTGGTGGTGACCCGGCTAGCCGCGTTCAAATCAGCCAAGCACAAGCCCGAGGACGCTGTTCAGTTCTTGGTGAGTGGGGCCCTCTAGCTGGGGTGCTCCAAGGATGAAGGGTGCCTAAGACCCAAGTGGGCAGACACTCCTGCCTTCCAGGGTATAGGTCACATCAGGGTTCAGGCATGTCTCTCTCCTGGAGAGCCACACCATGACGGATGACGGGGACCCACAAGCAAACAGATGCTTCTGGACATGTAGAGCTGAATAGAGGAGGTACAGGTAATGATGGAGTGCACGGGCTCGGGAGTTGGGGGAGTGGGTGCGTCTCTCACCCAGGGCAAGCTCAGTAGTGTTAAAAGGGGTGTCCCGGGCAGAAGGCGCAGCCTGAGGCTGCTGGCAAAATGGTGTGGGGAGCTCCAGACAGTTGAACGTGATCCTGAGCGAAGTGGGAAGAAGTTGAGGGCAGCCAGGCAGGATCCAGACTGCATCCAGGTTTGTCCTGCAACCAGTAGAAGTTTTGAGCAGAAGTGAGAAGTGTTCCCATGGTTAGGGGGCATTGGGGAGCCCAGGTCAGAAGAAGGAAGTGAGGGTGCGGGGTCCTGAGTATGGTGTCAGCGCAGGGATCCCAAAGGGAACGCTTGGCACTGGAGGCTGCAGTCAGCAAGGGAGGCGAGCAGGGGCTAGAAGTGACGAGCTAACCTGCACGCGGGTGGTAGCACTTTCTGTGCAGGCCGAGAGGCAGATACCAGGCGTGCCATGCTCATGACAGGGTGGGGATTGCCACAGGGTTTGAAGATAGCTTGAAGAGGGTGTTAAGAGTCTGGGAGTGGATGAAGTGGACTAGAGAGCAGAAGTGGAGGCAGAGAGAAAGGCTGCCTAAGGCAGGAAGGAGTATGCACTCACCTGAAGGAGGAGCACTGGGCTGTGCAGTCACAGGAGCTGAGTGACAAGGGGCCTTCGGGCTCTTGGCTCTTGTGAAAAGGGCCTAGACCCAGTGACCAGGGAAGACGCAGGCTAAGGCAGAATGAGCTGAAGTCCTATGGGACAGTGGGGAGCAGCTCGGTGCCGGCTGGCACGCAGTAAAAAATGAATTACAGTGTGGGTGACCTGTTAAATGAGACAAGTCCTGGGAGAAGTGTGAGGCACAGTCTCCAAGGGACACTCAGCAGGCAGCTCAGGAGAAGCACCTGCTTCTCATTTGGCTGCATGCAGCCGGGCCAGCCAGTCTCATTGCTTTGATGAAAACCTGGGTAGGGTGTGAGCTGGTGGTTCCGGGGCTGCCTTGTCCTGAGCGTGGCCCCACTCTTCCTGACCATTTGCCGCTCCTGATGGACTCTTGCAGCCAAGGTGGAGCCTGGTGCACCCATCTAGTTTAGATCTAGGTTGTCCCCAAGAGCTACAGGTGCTCAGAGGCAGGGCTTCCAGGAGAGGACTAAATGCTGGGGGGAGTGACAGCTAATTGGCTGCCAGGAGAAGGGACCTGGCTGGAAGAGGCTGTCCCGGGGGTGTGGCCTGGGAGAGAGGCTCTCCCTCCCTGCGCCCCCCCTTCCCTGTTTTCTGGCTGCAGGGCTGTGAACCCCAGGGCTGGTCTACCACTCCTAGACCTTGCCAGGCTGTAACCAGAGCCTGATACAGTCCCTCCAGAACCTCTCCTCCTTGAAGCTGCCCGTGCCAGTATTCCGTCCCAGTGATGAGGAGCCTGTCTTCAAGGACAGGGTCAGTAAAGGAGACATTTGATTTGAGACTGATGCTCCTGTGAGCAAGGCAGGAGCCCTCGGTGAGGACCAGGCCGGCTCAGTCCTGTGCCACGGACCAGCCTCATGTGCAAATGTAGGTAAGGATGACTGACAGCTCCACAAGCTACACTGGTGCCACCCTAGCCTCACCAGCGATGGCGGGCCCTGTGATACACAGGCATGCACTGTGAGTGCGCGTCCACATGTGGGTGCCTGCGAGGGCAGAGAGAAGCTGTCCAGCACTGTGAGGTCTGGAGGTATCCCCAGTTGCTGCCCCAAGCCCGCAGACTCTGGAGCTTCATGATTTACCTAAAAGAGGGGCCAGGGAGATGGCTCAGTGGAATATGCACTTCCCTGGCAAGCGCAAGGGTCTGAGTTCATTCCTCGGTTGGGGGCAAGGGGAATTATTTAGCTAAAAGAATGAGCACTTTGCCGCTTCTCCCTAAAAGGATACTTTAAGGAAAATCGCAAACGTGTTTACTTGCCCTATTAGTCGGCTTTGTGTTGCTAGGACAAAACACAGACATGCGTGGCTGAACAGGATAGCTCGCAGAGGGCGCAATCCAGGATCGCTGGCTCCCCGCAGGAGCATTGCGGTGGAAGGGCCTGACAGAGGAAAGCTGCCCATCGATGGCAGCAAGGAGGCAGAGCCCAGGGGACGGGCCCGAGAGGGAAGGGCCAGGAGCCAGTGAGAGTCCCCAAGGTCACAGCTCCCTGACCCCCAGACACCCCGGAAGTGTGCTTTACCCATCTCCCCTGTGTCCTCCCAACAATTGACAACCAAGAATAACCTTACAGCACTACTTGTGCGGGAAGGCCAGCCCAAGAAGGTTACTACTTGTGGGCCCCCAGGTGCCCCTTGTGCAGCCAGGCTATAGACATGCGCACACTGCAGGAACGGGTAGTGATGCTGTCTGCCCACTGCCTGGCACGTGGGGGCCACAGACAAGTGTAAGTTCTCGCCTTGGCGTGTCGGTGCGCAGTGTCTGTCCCTTTGTCCCCTCTCCTTGCTAGTGCCGGTAGGACAGCGCTGAGACACCCTTGCCTGATGCTGGATTGGTTGGAGCTCGAGGTGAGCTCTGAAGCCCTGGGGCCCTGCTGCTTCCTACTTCCGGGTCTGTGGCCCGGTTTGTGTGGAGCAGTTGTGCCAGCAGGGGGCGCTCAGTCCCCACCACAGCCTTCTCTGCTTGCTTGGTCGGAATCAAGGTTCTTCCCTAAACCCTCATCAGGGCATGATGCAGTCATTCAGAAACGATCCCTGGCCTTTCCTGAGCAAAGTTTTCGAATCTGGTTTGGGCACTGACAACTGCAGACAGCAGCTCTGTCCCAGATAACTTCCTGTGAGGGGTTCTGCAGTCCCCACAGCACCTGGTACCTAAAACCTTCAAGCAGGGGGTATTGGGGACCTGACACTGAGCAGGGGTCACTAGGCCTCCTGAACCTGTGTGTGACAGAGCATCTGCAGTCTAACTGCACCCAGCATGCTCAGGGAAGGTTCAGCATGCAGCCTAGGCCCCGGGGGATGCATGTGAGTTGGCCATGCCTTCTCCACTTTCCTAGACTCATCAGGGAGACCAGCTCGGCCGTGGGGAAATGGGCAGGCAAGTGGGCTGCTGGTAGAAGCAATGGTGTGCTGTAGGTGGCTGATCATATAGACCACAGACAGATGGTCCAAGCCCACCAATCTGTGGCCGCTCACTCCACCAGACTGAGTGCCTCGGGGTGACCTGGCAGAGCACACACACCTGCAGAACTCCATTGGTGGGCACTCAGGCCCTTGGCTGCCTAGGCATTGTCCTGAGGAGCTGGTGCTCAGTCAGGGGCCCAGCAGAAGGCCGACCCCCTACCTCAGCAGAAAAGGACCCAGACAGTGCTCAGGACTCCTAGGGCAGTGGCAAGAGCTCTGACTGGCTTCACCAGATCCTGACACACTGAAGGATGCTGGCAGCAGCTTTGGTAGTTCCTGGCTGCACTGCATGTCAAGACTGGCCCCACCGGAAGGCTGCCACTCATTCATAGGAAAGAATGAACCATCCAGAGGTCTGGTCTGACACACTGACTCACAGAGTTGCCTGAGGTGACTTGAGATCACCTTGCTACTGCAAGGAAAGCCGAGAACATCACCTGCAGGCAGGCCAGGCCAGGTCCCTGAACCCACTGCCTCACCTGGCCTCCAGACAGTGCTTGGGTCTCACAGCATTACCTGTCTCTTCCAAGCCTTCCAGTCGCACTTCTGAAGAACAGTGGTTGGGGTGAGGCCACACCACACCCTGCCCAGCCTTCTTTCAGGAAGCCGCATGCTCCTCTTGTTCCAGGTCTCCAAGAAGTACAGTGAGATAGAGGAGTTTTACCAGAAGCTGAGCAGCCGTTACACAGCCACCAGCCTACCCCCACTGCCCAGGAAGGTCCTGTTTGTCGGGGAATCTGACATCCGGGAGAGGAGAGCCATGTTCAGCGAGATTCTGCGCTGTGTTGCTGAGGATGTCCAGCTGGCAGGCAGCCCGGAGCTGCTAGAGTTCTTAGGTACACGAGGCTCTGTTGCACATCCCTAGGTCTCCTGCCCAGACCCTAGGCATGACTGCCCTGGCTGGGCACACACATGCCTTGCTCAGGTAGGTGGGCGTCGCCCACGTCTGGGGCTGGATAGTGGGGGAGAAACTCTGGCTTCTGAAGGCCTGGTCTGCCCTTGAAGGACTGACCTGTCAGATGCCAAGCGGAGTCATGCAGGGCATTTTGAAGACTTTCCCAGCCAGCCTCCTCTCTTGCTCTGGCTCACACATGCACAGGTACGTGTACACATACGTGCCCACACACATTCTTACACAGCCCTCCTCCCAGTCAGCCCTGTGGCCTGTGACGTCAGGAGCAGCTCTGTTTCCATACCTGGCTGGTGTCTTGGGCTACCTCCTCCTCAACCTTGTTCCCCAGAGAGGACTGAGTGTGCTGTAGCACCCCATCTCCCATAACAACCTCAGGCCCTCCCAGGCAGGGTCCTGCCCCTCTTCAACAATGGGATGGTAACCAGAAGTAACCTACTGATGGTACTCACGAGGTCCAGTTAGGGGCCCTACCCTCTCGCCGTCAGCCCACATCCCCCACCCCGGCAGGCAGTACCCCTGTGTCCCAGCTGTCAGGGTGGCCAGGCTGCCCCTTGTGGGACCAGTCTCTCTCACCTGACTTCTTCCTTCTTTAGGTCCATCATTCAGCTTTTTTTCTGACTCTGTTCCACAGGGCAGAAAGGAATTTTCCAAAAGAACTTTGACAGCAAATAAACTAGCTTTTAAACAGGGAGGGCTGGCAATGAGCCAAAACCAGCAAAGGCTAAGAGGAGCCAGAGCAGGGTGAGGGCATAGAGCCAGTGCTTCCTGTGTCTGCTTTGGTGTCCCATGCATGTTCTCCTACCCCATGGGCTCCCAAGCCAGAGCCTTGCTGCCTCCTGTCCCTGGGCTGCACACACTGTGACGAGGGTTTCAAGCGCAGCTGGTGGAAGGCTCGAGGTGCTCCACCCTGTCTGCCATGCAGAGTGAACAGGTGATTCAACTTGCCCAGCTATTCTGGGCCTCAGTTGCCTCATCCATAAAATGGACACATACTTACCTCTCAGTATTTTGTGTTATATGTAAGGTGCTTATTATGTGAAAGGTGATAAGATTTTGAACAATATTTTCACCTTTGGATAAAAGAACAGAACAGAGTACACAGTGTAGTCATTATCACTCAGTACATCCTGTGAGAGCTAAAAATTACTCTTTTTTTTTAACGACTGGGTGATATTTTTAAGACGTGGATGCTTTAAAAGATAAACTTCCCAATCTGTGTTTGGATAGAGATGAACAAGGAGTCCAAACCTACGCTTCTCAGACTGTCTGAGGGGGAAGAGTCACTTTTTTATCCCCAGCCCGTCACAGACTGGTGCTTTGGCAAACACCACCAGCTCAGCTGTGGCGCTAATGCCAGGCTGCTGCGGAAGCGCCCAGACACTTGCTGTCCCAGTTTGTTCTGCCTTGTGGAAGATGCCCGTCTGTGGACTGCACTTTGAGAACGGGCAAGCACAGTTTGTTCCAGTCTCTGGTGGCTCCAGGGCATCGCAGAGGTTGCAGTCTCACTGCTCCTGGTCTGCTGCTGGGTCCACAAGGCTCCATGCTGTGCCCCACGCTATGCAGCCCTTCTGCAGCTTTTGGTTCTGTTCAGGCAGGCCTGCGCTGGTTGGTCCAGTGGGTGTGGGCTGGGCCACTCGTGTGGCTGAAGACTGGGTCAGGACCTAGGGCCTCGACCTCTCGGAGGCTCCCACATAACTGTACCACACCAGGCTTCCCTGGTGCCACCGGTGCTCAGGTGCTGCAGTGGTGCTTTGTGCACACTGGATGCATGGCCTCCTGTCACCTAGGCTCGCTGTCCTGACTCCTACAGTCTGGTCCTAGCCTCAGATCTTACCCAAGGGTGTAGGGGTGGCTCTATGCCTTTACTGGTGGGTTTGAAGGCCCTTTTTTTTTCTCTCTCTCCACAGGCACCAGATCCCCAGGGCCTGCAGGTCTCGCCAGCAGAGATTCCTCTGCCCTGGATGACACAGGAAGCCAAATTGAGGACAGTGAGGAGTCATTTGACTTCTTTGAGCAGCAGGACCAAGTGGCTAGTGTGGGTCTGCCCATCCTGGGCCAGAGAAGTGAGGCTGGAGAGAAGTCCTCGGAGGTGGAGGAAGAGGAGGAGGAAGAGGAGGAGCTGGATCCCCTGGGCATTCTGCGGTAAGTCTCCCATTGTCAGGAGGGTTCCTTCTCAGCACTGTAACAGCCTCCATCCCTCCCTTGGGAGTCTGAGACCTCTGTGCTTCCCCAGTCCCAGGACCCAGTGCACAGATCTTTGACCTGTAGTGCTCAGGACAAGCCCTCTGCTCATACTTAGGGTCATCCATGTCTGTGGGGTCCCTAGGCTGGTGGGCAGAGTCCCCTTCATATGCACACACACACACACACACACACACACACACGTGTGTGTGCATACACCACGCTGGAGCTGAGAGGCAGGCCAGCTGAGTCTCTTCCTGCTCCATTCTCTCCACCTGCCCACCAGTGAGCTGTCCCTGAGCCTCTGATACATGGACGACTTGGTGCTAGGGAGACAGGGGACAAGGACATGGGCTGGATGAGGAAACAGGAAAGCCATGCATCTGTTTGCAGGGCTGCTGCAAGCCGAGAGGTTTGGGTAGGATGTCCCAACCAATCAGCGGCAGCTTCGCTGGGGAACCAAGCTACTCAGCCACATCCAGGGCCCTCACTTTTTCTTCTTGGTCCAAGCAGAGTGAAACATGTTTTCCAAGCACCAGCAATGTGCTGGCATTGAACTTAGTGGCTGATGTAGTATGTCTCGTCAGTTCCTGCCTTGCAAACAGCCATTACTGCCCCATTGTACAGACCAGAGAAACAAGTCTACAGAGACTGCGTGCCTAGGGTGAGGTCTAGCCGCCGGTAAGAATGGTGCTGGGGCTGGAGGTCCCTGCCACTGTTCCTCATTGGCCCTGGTGTTAACCTCTTTTCTTCAGTTTTCCTCAGTGAGAATGGGCTTCTGATAGTACCTACCTCTTACGGCTCTTGGGAAGAGCAAATGAGTTACACAGATGTTAGCATTAGCTGTCATCACAGTCCCTCTGTCTGTAGCATCAACCTCAGACTACAATGTGCTTCCCCCTGATGTTGTGAGTGGGCCTTGGGGTTTACTGGAACCCTTAGTGTGGAGCAGAAGGAGGCCTGACCTATAGCTCCGGCTCCCAAAAGCCCAAGCCTGTGAGAAGTCAGACGGAGGCACATTCAGCATAAATGCCCTGCTGAATGAGGAGGGGTGTGTGAAAACCGCACAGAGGAGATGAGGATTCACATCAGGGGGCCGCAGCAGGTGCAGGAGTCGCTGTCCCAGTGGCCTCCAGCTGGCCTGTCCTGGAGGAGGTCAGAGCCCCAAGGGACAGGCAGGAAGGATGGCGGGGGTCATGGGAACCGGCCGGTAAGAGCTCTTCTTAGCAGCCTGGCTCAGCACTGCCCCTTCTTGGGCTTTGTTTTGGTAAGGATAGGCCTTGGTTGAACTCATGCTTGCTGTTGTCTGGAGTAAGCACACAAAGTGCCAAACTGAGATGGACTTGGATGGTTAGTGCCAGCCTCTGGCTGAAGGACACGCTCAGCACAGTGGCTCCTTGTTTGGGTAGGAAAATGCTCTTTCGGGTTGGCAAACCCTGCCTTGAGTTTCCATCTGACTCCAGTACCAGCATGGGGGCTGTTGTGTCAGTGGACCTTGGACCCCGTGGCCGGGCTCTGTGCTCCAGGGACTTTGGCTCCTGATTCCAGGCAAGCTCCACACTGGGAGGAGCCTTGTGTTATCACCTTTATCGAGAATAGTAACATCTTTGAGAGGCTGTTAAATGTCAAGGACTGAGCTGGTTAGCACTGGCTCACATGAGCTCCAGTTACTCTTAATGGCTTTTCTGAAACTTTGCTGCTATGTCTTAGAGTGAAAATAGTGTTGTGTGTCATGACCAGGGCATCCATGTGGACACATTAAGTATGAAACTGAGACAGAAGCTGTAAGAACTCACACGGAGCCTTAATTAATTAAGCGTGTTATGCTCTTGACATTTCCTGCTCTCGCTCACTTTGGAAAGAGGTCACAGTGCATGAAATTGCTTGTGGGATCTGGTGGGCCGTGTGAGACCCCGCGAAGACCGTGCTGACATCAAAACTCTTTTCTGTGAACTTCAGGGAGCTGAAGCTGAGGATCCGGTTGTGTGTTCATGCCCATGCAGCCGCAGATAGCCGAGCCAGGACTCGGGGCCACGCATAGTGTAGTTCTTTGACAATGTGGGTGGTGGGCAGGGTCCTAGGATTGGCCCCCCGTTCTCAGATGGGGACATTGAGGACAGAGAGGTCGGGTTTCCTCTAGGCCTCCCGTGGCCCCAGATAGCCCTGTGGGCACTCTATTCTGCACGGGTAGCTAATGATTTGCGCACAGCTCTCGCCATGGAGCAGCCGTGACTCCTGCTCTGCCCACACCGCCCCCAGCCTCAGGCCTTCCTGGAGCCGCCATGGTGGCCATAGTCCTTCCCTGCTGTGGCCAGAGGGGGGTACTGTGGCTCCATTGCCAGGCTGCCCTGGAGGGTGGCGTTGCTGGTGCAAAGCTGGAGCCCTACTGGCCTGGCTTTTCTTTGTCTTTGCAACCTGCCTGACTGAGGGAAGGGCATGCTTATAGCATCTGAGAACACAAGGTGACCAGGGAAGGCCCTGCCACTGGCTCCCCTTATTTGCTGAGGTCTCTCCTTGGGCCCTCTCCTTGGCCTTCCACACCCCTCTTTGGCGCATGTGCCTGTCCTCACACATATTCGCTGTGTCGTACATGGTTGTCCCGTATAATATTTAGTGTCTGTGGTTCCAAGAACATGGAAGTTCGAGCATGATTCCCTCCTCTGCTGGAAACTATTACACTTTCAGGGAGATTCAAATAATATACCAGCCTGTAGAGGAAGACTGACGTCACAGGAGAAAGTCCTTGCGCCATCGACGTGGGCCCAAGTCTTACGCCCCATGGGACTGTGGTGCCTGCGCCACTGTGGCTTGGCTGTCCAGCATGTGTCCTCCATCTTCCCTGGTCAGTGAGTCCTCTTGGCCTGGCGCACTCTGCTGCTCCCTCCGGTTGAAGCACCAGAAGTAGCAGCACCCCTCCTTGCGGGTGCTGCAGTGTCTTCCAGAGGCTTCTGCTATGAAAGGCAGTAACTCCTTGAGGAACTTTTTTTTGTTTTGTTTTGGGGTTTTTTGGCAGAACCGGGGATTGGACTCAGGCCCTTGCACTTGCCAGGGAAGTGCTTATTCTACTGATCCATCTCCCCGGCCCCTTGAGAAACTTTTATGTGTACAGAGCTGTTATTCGCTTGAGCTTAACCCTACAGCCAGGTCCCCAGAGCTGCTCCTGTGCACCAGGGTTGGCCTATGAAGGCTGAGTCACCCTGTGGGGAGGCCACCCCACTTCTCAATACCTTCCCCCTTCAAGGCAGCTCTCCACCTCTTCCTATCTGCTTCCCAGTCATGGGGAGCACCCTGCCCTCCAGTTCCCAGATCCCAGGACTCAGCTGTCCTGCTGACCTCAGCTCCAGCAGGCCCTGGGATACACCTGCCTGCCTGCTAGACCTCTGGGACTCTCGGAGAAATCCGTGCCCAGCTGTAGTCTCAAGCAGTGAAGCCTGTTGCTGTTTCCATCATAATTGCTTGTACCGATTTGCTTCACTTCCCATAAAGTACTTGTTTCGATATAAAAATAACACCTAGCTTACCATGGGGTGACCCAGTGATTTCACTTGCCCCTGGCACACCACGGATCCCCATGTTTGCTCACCCAGCATTTAGAATTAGGCCTTCCACCAGGAGGACCAGCACAGCCACAGCCATAGTCCACAGGGCCCTGGCGCTGCCTCCCTTGGATGCCACCTGCAGAACTGGCTTCACTCCAGAGCATGGAGGTGTGGAGTCCAGCGCTCCAGGCTGCCCTGGATGCCACCGGGGCCACAGAGACCAGCTGGCGACCCTGCACCAACCACGCCCCAGGGGAGATGCAGATTTCCAGACCCCTGGGAGCTGAGTGGAGCCCAGCCTGTCTCGGTGTATCCAGAGTTAAGTCTGCAGTCTCATGCCAGAGAAGCCCCCAAACCAAGCCCTGTTGAAGTCTGGCAGTTGCCGGTCATTGCAGAGCAGCAAGGAGCGGGCATGTGCAGGGCGGCACCTCATTAACTGCTGCCTCACCTCTTCCCTTCTCAGGCATGCCCTTCACTGCAGGAGATTGCGATCCCTGGTTGTCAGTTACCGTGGGGGAAGCCCCACCAGGCCTGACCTCACCCTGTGCTTCCCTGGCCCAGTCCTGGTCTGGCCCCAAAGCAGTGCGGTGCACATGAGTTGGGCAGTGCGGCCACCCCGGACTCTGCTCTGGGGCCAGCTACAGGGGTCACTGTCCACAGCACATGCCCCCAGCTGTGTCCTGGCCAAGCACTGTTCAAGCTGGCCTGAGTGAGGGGGCTCCCAGGGGAACAGAGATGCAACAGGGCTTTCCCATTCTTCACTTAAGTAGCTCAGGAGAAATCTCTTCTAGATCTTGGATGTATAAAACAGACCGAAGTATGGTTGCCTCATTTGAGACAGGAGCAGAGTGCGCCAGCTTCAGCCCCCTCCCCAGGCAGCCTGCCAGGACTCAGGGCCCTGCCGAGCTCAGTTTGAGACCCCAGGATGTGTGGTAACCCTGAAGCAGGATGCAGGTTGAAATCCCAGCCACATAGAGGCACTGGGTGGTGGAGGACTTGCCAGAACTGGCTCTGGAGTAGTTTCTTCCCTTGTAAAGTAGGTGTGAAGTCCAGATGCAGGAGTTAAAAGGAGGAAAGTTCTTGGTAAAGTGTTGTCTGGATTTCTAACAGGCCTGTGTGTCCCAACAGCGGTTGAAGCATGGAGCCAGCTTTTCCACGTCCTCTACTATGCAGATGCCACACTTGCGGGTTCCACCTCCTGCCAGGTGCGCCTGCGGGTGGCCGCCTCAGCCCCTGTCCCCAGGAAGAATGGTCTCACTGAGCTGAGCCCTGAACAGGGTTAATGGTGATAGGGCTGCTTGCAGGATGGTATCTTGGGAGGCCACCGTTCTCCTGCCTGAGAATGCCCCAAGCCCACAGTATGCCAGAGCCCTTATCCTGGGAGGTCACACCCACTCTTTGATTTACCACCAAGGAACCTTCAAAAGGTCACATGGGTCTTCTGGCCGCTGGCTGTGCCTTTTCTCTTTGTCCTGAGACTCCTCCCTGTGCCAGGTGTGGATTCCCAGCCTGCATGTCTGCACTGTCTGTTTTGGTAATGTGAGTGATGGGCACCCATAGGATGGCTACGAGGAGTTGGGCCGGCTTCCCCCAACACAGCATTGGTGTGCACATGGTCAAGGTAAGTGAAGACTATCCAGATCAGAACAGCAAAGGTGGTTTGTTCTGAGCCTGCCACAGCCAGGGAGGCATCAGCCACCATGCTCTGCATGGGTCTCGGCAGCAGGGCCGTGGGAAGCTTCACAGTGGCAGAAGGGAGGCTCTGTGCCGGCCTGCACTGGAGGGGGATGAACAGTGGGGGTGCTGCGTCCAGCATGGTCAGCTAGGGGACATGCTTGACTTCCCTGGCTGGTCCTACTAAATTGGAAATGGAGACAACTGGGAAACTGGCAGTTATGGGTCCAGCCCTGGCCCTTTGGGGCTGGCTGCTGCAACACTGGTTTGAGCTCCCGAGCTGCTTGTCACACACTGTGGTGCAGAGCCCTACTTTACATGTGGCCTGACACTTCTCCCTTTGCACACTGAGGCCCCACGTGAGGTGGGTGTGGATAGGTCAGGCGGCTGACAGCCCTGCAGGCGAGGCAGCTGGGTGTCCTGGGGCGGCAGTACTGAGAAGAGTCTGTCCCCTGCTGGAGTCCTGGTTCCCAGGGCAGGACTTGGAGGGCCTGGAGAGTCAGGCTGGCTCTTAAAAGGACAAAACTGGTACTCAGCAGTGGTGGGCATCTCTGGGGCCAAGCAGCTCCCCACATGGGCCTTGCTTTCTTTTTTGGTTCCAGGAATGGAACTCAGGACCTTGCTCTTGCCAGGCAGGCACTTGTTCCACTGAGATCTATCCCCTACCCTGGGTCTTTCCCTTGTTGAGGCCAACCTGGAGCCTGCTGAGCTGGATGTGTGTGTGTGCCTGGGCTCAGGTATTCATCACCCAGCCCTGTGGCCTAGCTGTACCCCTGCCCCAAACTCACTTGCTCCTGGGCTTCCCCGTATGGCTGTATAAGTGGCTTCTGTACCCACTTACCAGGTATAGAGGTGCCTGCTCACATGCAGGTCTTTTTGCTTTCTCCTCTGCTACCAGAACCTCCGACCCCACAGGACATGCCAGCTTCCCTTGCATCTGGTGCCGCCTCCTCCCTCCAGGCGCCTGCCACCCAGCTGCTGGCCCTTGTACCATGCCAAGTCATCTGCCTGGAGCGCAGCTTCCGCCACTCTGTTCCTCTCCCATCTGGTCCTTCTTGGAGGCCTGCTTCATCCTGCTCTCCAGGGAAGCCCCACACAGGCACCAGTGCAAGTCACTCTGTCCCAGAGCACCTCCCTACAGTTCACTTACTCATATGCTGAAACTCTGTCTAATTGGAAAAACAAACAGCTGAATTTAAGGTGCAAACAGAAAAATGCTTTATTTCAAAGCAGAAAAGCTACACCACAGGAACAAAGGTTGATATCCCTATTTGGTTAAGCGTCTCCGGGGCTTTGCAGGTCACAGTCCGTGTGTCTTGGCCGTGGAAGGACCTGCCGCTTCCTGTTCATACCCAATCAAATTGGCTCTGTCTGGAAATGGCTCTGCCAGGCCCACACATTCCTCCCCTGGGCACTGGGGACCACGCCACTGGTCCTGTCCTAGGCAGGTGAATCTGGAACACTGCCATACACCCTGGGTGGCCAGAGGGAGGATGCTCTTAAGCGTCGATCACTGTCACCACAAGTGACTGAGCCGAAAGGAGCCGCTTGCTTCTTGGCTGGTCAGAGCTGTCAGCCCTAGCAGCTGCCGCCTCTCTGCCACATGTGCAGTGCCGCCGTCTGCAGAATGTGGTAGGGTCTGCGCATCTGTCTCCTGTCAGGCCCACAGCAGGAGCCCAGTGTCTGCGCGGCATGAGCATGCTCACACGGGCCTGCGCTGGCCAGGAGCCCAGTCCACCTCCTACAACCCGTACTGGGCCTACCTCGTCTGCTAGGTGGCCCTGGTGACCTGCATACACTCGCCGGGAAGCCAGGCACTGCAGTCCTGTTCACCTCAGCCCTCAGCATGATGCCCACATCCATTCTTGGTGATTGAGCTCTATTTCCAGCTTTCTGCTTGGTCCGTAGTATGGAAGGACTTGTCCCCTGTTGGTGCTGGGCACAGGTTGGCTTCAGGGTCACAGGCTGAGCTGCCCATCGACAGACAGCTGGGTGGACACTGATAAAACTGTGGAGGGGACAGAAGAGCAGCCATGCGCAGGGAAGGGAAGGAAAGGGTCAGTGCAGCTGCAGACCCAGCAGCACCGTGGGCGGTGCCCAGCACATGCCACTGCCTGCACACACTCCCTGAAGCGTTCCTGACTTGTTGCCCCCTCCCTTCTCTGCTCCCCCAGGCCAGGCTGGCCAGTCTCCAGCAAGCTGGAGCACAGCATCCATGAGGAACTGGCTCCCTGCCCCATGCCTCTCTACAGGGTACTCCTGCCCCAAGCCTGAGGGTTCTTGTCACCGCAGGCATGGGGTTCCTGGTTGCACACACAGGCTCCTGCAGACCTCATGGGGGGCCTTGGTCTGCCTGAACCCCTCCTCCTCCTGTAGCCAGAGTTGGCTGCCTACCTCTAGGAACCAAGCCTCTCTAAGCCCTCACGCTGCACCTGGGCCTGGATTATCCTGTATAGCAGTGATTGGTGTACATGTCTGACTGTGTTCAGCCCTGAGCTTCAGGGAACAGTGGCAGCTCTAAGCTGTGACCACAGGTATCGCTGGGCACAGGGCACATGTGTGGGAGACATTCATGAGCACTGGTGCCAGGCAGCCTCTGAGGGAGCAAGTGGCTGCCCACAGGATGACCTAACAGCTAAGAGATCTTTGGAGGAGGAGCAAAAGAATACAGGGCCTGGGTGCTTGTGCTAGGAGCCCCTCTGTCCTCACTGCCTGAAGTTTTAGGGCTAGACAGGTCCCTGGGGCTCTGAAGCAGCAAAGCCCTCCTATGCAGGGTGGGGATGGGACAGCCCAAGTGGGGTGGGAGTCCGAGTGCAGCCCTGGACTGCACACTCACCTCTGTCAGTTCTGCAGAGTGTGGCAAACATCTCCAGGGAAAGGGTGTGGCCATCTGCAGTTTTGAGCGGTTTGGTGGCTTCTCTCCGGGAAGGAACATCATCAGGTATGTCTGTGTTAAGGCTAGAAGCAAACATGGGAAGACAGTTGAGGAAATGCCACATAGCTCCTGTACAAGCACTTACTTCTCTGACACTTCCCTTGTCTTCAACATTCGTCCTCTGTGCTCCTTCACCCTGCTCCGTGGGGCCACTGGCTGGGTTTCCAGGTGCCTCCTGGTCCTGAGGGGGTTGTGGTGAGTGTGGAGGCAGAGAGCCGCTTCAGGGCTGCTGCCATCCTAGGGCCGCCCATCAGATGGTGGAAGCAGGGCTGGGTGGGCTTCTCCCCTCTTCACTGCTGCAGTTCCCACTGGACCCAGGAGCAAGGGGCCACTGAAGGGGTGGCTGCACTGGGAGAGAGGGTCAGAGCAGGGACAAGCAGAGACTGAGCTGCCAGCTGGTCCAGGGGCTCCCAGACATGGCCGGCCACCACCTTCCACAGGAGACACAAACTGGCCTCCAGGAATACCTGGGGGTTTTGGCCCAGGAGAGCCTGGGCAGAGGCCATCTCTCCTGGGGCCATGGCCTCTGTTAGTGTCCACTTCCAGGGGTCATGAGAGCTGAGTAGCTGTACTGTGGCTCAGAGTGAGGGGCAGGTGTCCAGGGAAGAGCAGCTGAGCCCCAGCTGCAGGGTATGGCAGAAGTGAGACCGAATTCTCTGGAAAGCACTTCTAGATTCAGGGATGCAGAGTCCAGGCTCCCTGCATTCCTAGCACCAGCCGCAGTCTGGCCCTGAGAACAGTGCAGGGTGCAAGTGTGGCCCTCATGGCCTGACCCCATTCAGAGAGTGACTGGGATGGGGCATCCTGGCCCTACTGGATCTCTCACTGTCACTGCCTTTGGAACATGCTTCTTTCTCCCCTAGGGCAGCAGAGCTGCTCTGTGAGTCTCACGTTGTCTCCCATCACCCTCCTGCTCAGAAGAGGCAGAGGGGCAGAAGCAGAGGACCCCTAGCAGTGACCATGCTCACTGTGGTCCCTGCTGCCCCCTCTCGCCTTCAGGCTCTGGCAGATGCTAGCCCACAATTCTTGGGATATCGCAGAAGCCCAGGCCCATGAGACCCCCTGCCAGGACTTGACCCTGAACACCGGAGTGCCGCCCTGTCCTGTGGCCTCGCACCTCTCACGTCTCCCTGCCTCAGCTGCAGCTGTAGGCCAGGCTAGACTTCTGCACATCTGGCACAAAACTGTGGGAACAGTGGCTTCAGCTTACCCTGCCCCTGAGCACCCAGGCCCTATCTTTTATCTGCTGCCAGTCAGCCTTGTCACCGTTTAGGACAACACCAGCCTCTGCAGTTTTGCTACCACATCCCCAGTGTGAGGTCAGATGGTAGCCTCAGTCTAGTGGGACATCCTGCTGCCCAGACAGGCCCATGCTATTCCAGTTTCCAATGAGAAGCATATTCTCATCATCTGCAGTAACCTAAAAAAGTTACTGTGGGCAGCAGCTACAGGGAGCAGGTCAGCTTGTCAAAATGAAACCCAGTTTGTGTAGTGAGGGTATCACTTACAGTGGCAGGCACAGATCTGAGCATCCGGGCGCAGGTCACCCCAATGGAGAGAGAAACCAAGCCCCCCTCATCCTAGTTCCTGCCACAGGCTGGCCCTGGGTGCCACCTCCTCTACCTGTCAGTGCACAAAAGAAACAGGACTTAAGGGTGGCAGAGCCAGGTGGGGTCCTGAGTCCCAGAAAGGCTTCCAGAAGGAGTAGGCTGCCCTAGGGACACGGTGCAAGGGGGGCAGCGCATGGGGAAAGAGCCTTCCCCAGCTGCTTTCTGCTCCTACCCCCACCCTCAGCGCTCAGACTTGTCAACCTGTCTGGCTGTGGAGTTGGCTGCTTGAGACCAGGCCCTCAAGTGCACAGACCTGCAGGCATCTCTGCTTTTGGAAGGAGAGTGTTTTGTGGCCGTGAGCATGCAGCAGCCGGGGCCTGCCTAGGCTGGAGAGCTGGGAGCTGTCTCTCCTTCAGGTTGAGTCCAGATGGTCGCTTGCACCTCCCTGCCCTCAGCAGTCTTGTTCCCCCAAGCACAGTGGCAGTCAGATCTGGGAAAGCCCCACTTTGGCCCTAGCTCAGGCCGTCCTTGTTCTCACTGGCCTGTCTCTCTCTCCTAGGAACAGATGTGCCTGCTGGACATGGGAGACTGCTTCTGTAGCTCTCCTGCCAGCACTGTGCTGCTGGGCTACCCCAAGCCTCCTCATGGCCCATTTCTGGTCTGGTCTTCTCTCGCTATGGTGGACAGAGGCCTTGGCTAGGTGTGGCACCTGGCTGTGCCCAGCAGATCAGATGGACTTGCAAGGGAGACCCTCATCTCCTGTGTTTGCATTTTGTCTCCAGCTCCAAGAAGCCCAAGAAACGCCCCGAGGTGGCTGTGCAAGCCAAGCCCCCGCCCCGGCTCACCATCTTTGATGAGGAGGAGGACCCTGATGAAGAGCTCTTTGGCCCAGGCAGGAGGCTGTCACCAAAGAGCCCCTCCAGGGGCGCACACGCCGTGGACTGTAAGTAAAGCCTCTCAGTGAGTGCCTTTGTCTCCTTACCTGCTCAGTGTGTGCAGGGCCCCAGGCTGTTCATTCGCACTCAGCTGGAGAAAGCCAGCCTCACCTCCCATGTCCCTACAGCCTGGAACATTCTGGGGCTGTGTATTTAAGCATGCTGTGGAAGAGGGGGACAGTTTTCTTCATTACATCTGCACCCCAATGTGGGCACCAGGGCTCTAGGCACCATTTTGGTACAAAATGGGTGCTGGCCCACCTTGAGCATGCCTCCAACTCCTTATGATTTTAAGATTTAATATTTTGTGTTGCCAACGTAGATGGTCACTGGAGGGCTCCGGCCAAAGTTGGCAGGGGAAAGCTGAGGTGCCCTGGGAATCTCCCCCATCCCTGGGTCTGAGCTTCCTTCAGGCCTGCCCTGAGCCTCTGGGGAGGGAGCTGGTGAGCCAGCACGTGGTTGTGCCAGCATGTGCCAGGCGAGCGGGACCTGTGCAGATATGGGGCAGCACCTGGCACCTGTGGAGCAGCTTGAGGCTGTAGCAGGACCAAGCAGAAATGGACTGGCAGGGATGACATTCTGGGCAGGACTGCCAGGGCTGGCACTGTGCCTGGGCTGAGTTCTGGAAGATGGTCTGTAGTGAGGAAAGGATGCTGGGGAGAGGCCATGGCCAGTGCTCCCAAAGGACATCGGGAAGAAGCTCAGGGGGACAGGGTGGGCAGACCTGTGGTGTCCACTGCCTGGCACCATAAAGAGCCCCCTGGTGGACCGCACTCAGTACCTGTGAGCGGGAGAGTGGTGTATGGGCAGGGGCAGCGGAGGCATCTGGGTACACAGGGCTGGAAGCCGGGCTCAGGGAGCACAGAGGTCTTTTGGCCTTAAAGCAGCAAGCCCAGGAGAACTGGAAAATGGAGCTAGGTGGAAGCAAATGGGTGCCCCTGGTTTTCCTCTCCCCCGCCTGGTCTGCTTTCTGGGTGCACCATGAGGCTCAGCCAAGCAGCTCTGCCCAGCCCCCTTGCAGCTGAGCACAGCCAGACCTGGGCCCACCTTGTGCCTCCCTCCCCACAGCCCTGAAGCTGTTTGATGACCCTGACCTCGGCGGGGCTGTTGCCCTGGGTGACCCCTTGCTGTTGCCGGCCACCTGTGAGCATGGAGGGCTCTCATCCAGCCCAGATTGCAGGGAGACAGCTGACGAGCTCTTCAGGTACCACTGTCCCTGCGCGGCTTCCTGAGCTGTGGGCCTCCCCAGTGTCAGTAACGAGGTCCCCAGCATCAGTAGCGAGGCCCCGGGAGGTCAAGGCCTGTGGCTTCAGGTAGCCAAAAGGCAGTGAGTGGATTTGGGAGGAAGGGTTGCAGCCAGGGCAGCTGGGAGGCTCCCATGACATCATCATGTACGTGGCCAGGCCTTTTCTGCTCATGCTCCTAGTTTAATAGTTTTTCTAAAGGATAATAATTAAATGACAAAATTCAAGAGCAAGTATAACCAGCATACATGGGTTTGGGAATAAATAAAACTAGCAGTAGACAGCGTGCTAGGAACATACCCTCGGGGAAAGGGAGAGCCAGGCCCACCCTGTCACCAGGACTCAACATTCCCGCTGCATAGGAGACTTTTGAAGCCTTCCCTTCGCTATTACAAAATTCAGCGAGGGCCTTATCCTTTGCACACCCAGAAGCCCCTGCCTGCCTGTATCCTGGCCTCTCTACCCCCAGGACCTCTGCTTCCCTGCCCAGGGCTGTGGGCTCTCCCTAGACCTCGCCTGTGAGCCAGGTAGGGTTCGTGCCCCCAGGATGCAGGGTGTGCTTGGTGGTTTACAGGAAGCTGACTGCGTTCCCAGGAGGCTGTCATCGTCATCCGCACCTCTCATTAGCAGCCTCGGGCTGTTAGACAGCCCTCTAAGTGCCCGTCAAGCCTGAGTCATGGTGATGCCTTCTTGTATTCACATCCCCCAAGGTCCCTGGCATCTGTTCCTCCTTATCCCGTATCCTGGCTGAGTACAATCGTTTCCTTAGGGCAGAAACAGAGGCTCAGGGAGGCTGATACTAGAGTCAGCCCTGGGGAGATGCAGGGCCAGGCTGAGCGTGTCTGGTAGGCCAGTTCTTTGGGCCTCGGAGATTCTCAGCTTGCTTCAGTGGGGTCACTAGGCTCCCTCTAGTAGGTTCTGTGGCCAAGCAAGTTGGGAAAGTGCTTGTGATAGCAGGCCTAGCACACGCAGGCCCGGGCCATGCAGCATTTCATGTTCTTATTAGTCCCCAGGCGCCTCCCAGCACCCGACAGAGCACTCAGGGAATCGCTGCTTGGAGAACTCTGCATCCCTGCCTGACCGTGAGCAGGCATCTGGGAATGAAGACTCAGCTTCCTGAGAGCAGGAACATACTTATTCTCCCCTACATGTGCCCTGAGACTGTGCAGGCACTAATGGGTCTTCCTTGTTGCAGGAAGCATTGAGTCGTTCCTCTGTTTGTACCTTCCCCCCCCCCCCCCCCCCCCGCATCCTTTAGCCACCCTGAGACAAGAGGGGCAAGGTGGCACTGGAGCCAGGAAGGCAGCTGAGAAGCATCTGTCCCCTCCCATCTCCAGCAGAGCTCTGTCTTCTGTGGGGACTCAGGAAGTAGGAGTAGGACAGGGCTTCCAGCCTCCCAGCCCATGCCGGTGGACCTCACGGCAGTTGGGAGCTGCCTAGAAGAGTTGGGAGCTGGGGTGTGGGCAGGGACCGGTCCTAGCTGTGACTGGGGAGCTCAGGGAGTGTGGGAGGGGCCCTGCACAGCCACCTCTGTCCTTGCGCGAGCACCTGCCACACCTCTGCCGCAGCCACCACCCATGACACCTCTCCTGCTCAGCTGCTGCCTGCTCCAGGGTGCCCTCACTGCCAAGCGATGTAAGCAGAAGTCAGGCACAGGTTTTCAGCTGCTGCTTTATTTTCCTATTGGACCTATTTGAGCACAATTCTGTCCCTTGGAGCTTCTGCAGGTGCCCTTACTCAGCCTCTGGAGGATGCACAGGGAGCCAGCAGCAGCCCTAGATGACTTATGGAATGGGGGAGCTCTGTCTGTGAGTGACACTGAGGCCACAACTGTCTCTGGAGACTGGCTCAGGCCAGGCCTCTGGGTCTGGACAGGGAGGGCACCATTATTCAATCCTCTGCCATCCAGCAGGCTCTCAGTTCTCTCCTGGGGACCCATGCCGTGTCACAGGAGCTGCCCTAGGCAGCAGGCAGGGTGGTTGGCCACCGTCAGCAGCCGGTCCTGGCAGCAGCTGCAGGGCAACACTGCAGCACCATCTCAACCCTCAGGCTCCAGCCAGATGCTTGAGCCTGGTCCTCCTTCCACTCTGCCCTCCACTTCTCAGCTGGCTTCAGAACTGGGCCCCCCTCAGATGACCAGGCTCCTCCTTTAGCTCCTGTTCCCACCTCCAGACCTTTGCTATCTGCTCTGCCTTCCCGGACACCCTTCTGCCTCCGTGCACCATCCCTGCCAGGCCTGCTCTTCTTCTCCCTTTCCTGGAATGCCTTTACAGCCCAGCCTGCCCATGCCTTCTCCAGCCCTGGCGAAGCTTGCTCTGACCCTCACCAGTGTGAGCCTCCTATTGGGCCAGCTGAGATGCAGGCAGCTAGCTGCTCCTCTGTTCTTCTATGCACTGTGTTCCACTCCTAGCAGCCAGCCTGGGCATAGTCCCTTAGGCTCACAAGTGCTTTCCGTTCACTATTTTACTCAGTCCTTACAAGAATCCCATGAGGCTGGCCAGGAAAAAAATACTCTTGCTGTGCAAATGGTGAGACTGAGGACCAGGGAGGATCCTGAGTGGCCTGAGGCCACTTGGTACGGAGCAGAGCCGGTACTCCTGTGCACATTTGTGCAACACTGACTGACATGCTAGTGGGTGCTCAGAGGTCCCGGCCACAAGTAAGCCTTGTGGGCCCAGCTGAGGCCACTCCAGCCTCAGGGGCTGTGTTGTTCCCAAAGGAGCAAGCAGACCCCACCCAGGACAGCTTAAAACACCAGCAGCACTGGTAGCCCTGCTTACTTTCTCCAGGTGAAATTGGTCAGGCAGCATGCTTGGCCTCCCGGGTCAGACTTCTGGGTTCCAGCACTGTCATCTTCGTGTGCTGCTCTGCCTCCTGGGCCTCAGCTGGCCCTCTGCAGGGTGGGAGTAGGGTACATCTGCCCAGAGTGGTGTTTGCAGATAAGGTAAAGTGCCTGGTGTAGAGCAGGACGTCAAGGCAGGGCAGTGGGCAGTTATCCTCACAGAGGCTGGAGAGAGTGTCCCCTGTCGAAGCCCATGGCTCAGGTGGGGCCCCCTCAGGAGGCACTCTCGGTGGTTCTGAGGGCCTGGTGCACTGTGGAGATGAAGGAGCAGTGAGCCCTGTCCTGATTCTCCAGGCAGGATGGAGTGGGGGAGTGGTGGCCCAATCTTCGGCAGTGCCATGTGGAGAGTGACCCTGCTTGGGATCTTGCTGCTTTTGGGGGAGATGCTCACACTCACGGCTATTCTGTTTGGTTCCATAGAGTTGAGGAGGACTTAGACCAGATTCTGAACCTAGGGGCTGAGCCCAAACCCAAGTCCCAACCTAAGCCCAAGCCTAAACCCAAGCCACTTGTGGCAGCGAAGCCAGCACTGCCCAGAAAACCAGCTGTGCCCCCCAGAGCAGGCCCATTGGAAGCTGAGGTCGCACAGCAGAAGCAGCAGCAGCGGATCCAAGCCATGGATGAGATGGACATCCTGCAGTACATCCGGGACCATGATGCACCTTCCCAGGCCTCCCCCAGCCTCTTCTGATGCCCACAGGACGCTGACCTCTGCTGTACGCCCTGCCATGGAGGCCTGTTTGGGGGCGGGTGGCAGGCGCCTGCCCTGTACGTCTAGTATCTCTACTCCCAGACACATAAGGATGTCCACGCCTGGACCACGCCATTCTCTTTTATCTTGGGCTGTGGGCTTAATTGAAACCCCCAGACTACAACGGGGGTCATCATAGGAATTGAAGCTGTATTATGTCGGTGCAGCTGGGTATGAAGGGGGGAAGAGGGGTTGCCTTGCTCACCAGGTGACTTGGGCGAGCTGTGTGGGGCCCCATGGTGGTATCCTAAGAGACAAAGACACCTGCCCACTGACCAGTCTCCTCTGGGGTCTATGCAGCCTGGATGCTGTGGCCTGGAGAGGACCCCACGCAGGAGAGTCTGGCTGTCTGGGCTGTCCTGAGCCTCCTGTGGGCCCAGCTCTGGGAAGAAGTTCGGCCCAGCCCTGCCTATGGAGAGGTCTCTGAGCCTACAAGCCCACGTCTTCCCTCCACTTCCTGTCCCAGTGGCCTTCTGGATACAGCCACTGCCCACCAGCATAGCGCTCAGCAGCACAGGCTGGCATGCCCCCTGGGCTCGGCCTTCTCCTCCCAAGGACATGGTGCTCCAAGGCCTTCCCATTCTCAGGTGTTGGTTTTCTCAGTGGCCTTTTACCAGGGCAGGCCAGCACCTCAGACGTGGCCTGGGCACACAGGGCTGGTACCATGTGGCCTTGGGAACCATGCCCTGAGTGAGTCATGTTTTGTGGGTCAGAGGATGTTGGGATGCAAATTGTGGGTACATTCTCCATGTTCAGAGCCAGTTTTTAATGAAACAATAATTTTGAACAAAATGCAGTCACTGTGGTTCCTCAGCTCTGCCCTGCGAGGTGGAAGCATTAAGAAAAGTCAGCACTAGGCTCTCAGCCACACTGAGACATAAGCCCTGGTGACATAGGGCTAGGGGCCTGGCTCTGTGCCTGGCAACCCACTTCTGTATAAAACCCACAAGACCAGGCTGGGATCCCTGAGACTGACCTGTCAGACCCCTTGCCATGTCTCTCGTTGGCTACCTCTTTCTAGGCAGGCCACTCACCCACCCCTCCAGCCTTGCCAGGGTAAAGCTTGAAGGTGGTCAGGCCAAAGTCCTGTTCTTCTGCCTACCTGAGTCAGAGGGTCCCTGCCCAGGGAGCAGACCTGACTTTAGCACCACTCCCCTCCGCCCTGGCTCCTGCTTTCCTTCCACAGCTGGATGTGGTGTCCAGACCAGCCCTGTGCTTCTGCCCTGCTGACTGCAGCAGAAGGTTTTACAGTACCATGAGGCCACACAGTGGCCCTTCCCCTGGGAGGCGCCCAGCCCTTACCAGCCCCTCGCCACCTGCCCCTTCTTTGGATGACTGCTGAGACAGAAACAGCTTGGTAGGCAGGTAGCCATAGGCAGAGGGGGAGAAGCCTATTACTTGTGTACCATATAAATTAAGGCAAAAGGCCCAAGCACAATGGGGACATTGAGCCAGTAACCGCTCAGCCACAACCCATGTGGAAAGAGAACCCCTTGCCCTCTCCAGGCCTCCCCGCCCCACCCCCATACACAAGGAACCAGGCAGATTGATGTCACAGAGTTCTGCCCCACATTGGCAGACCAGGCTGGCCTGTCCTCCACATTCCTGGGTGCAAGGTATTGAGGTGCTGCCCCATGCGTAGGGCAAAGAGGTTCTGATGCTAAGGGCACTGCAGACCGACACCCCAGGGAGAGAGCAGTTTCTAAGGAGCCAGCATTTGGGACACTCGTGAGCAGACTGCTCTGGGCACCCTGTGTGGAACAGTGCCTATGTCCAGCAAGGCCACCAGCCAGCACCACTGGCAGCTCTGTGGGCCTTGCTCAGGATGTGACCTTCCCCAGCAGCGGGATCCTGGGCTTTCAGTCCGCCGTGTGACTTTCTTCCCCGACCATAGCCTCTCCTCCCCCAGGCCTGGGTTGAAGCTTGCAGCCAAGATTCAGTTACCTCTTGGTGCCCAAGGGCAGGCCAAGGGGCCAACCTGAGGAAGTCTACCAAGACCCTGTGGGAGGAAATGGAGAGGCTGAACTTGGGGCTGACCAGCATGCTTAGGGTGTCAGCATGCGTCTGTTTTGCAGGCTGCTATGAGCCTGTGGGCAGGATGTGCTGGCTGGAGCTGGGGCTCCTCTGTTCCCTTCTGGGCATTTTTCTCCTCAAGAAGCTGTGGCCACAGGCCATGACAATGTCAGCCCCTCTAAACCTCAGCTCTCCTTGATACTCAAGCCCTCATGCTAGGTGCAGGTGAGACAGCAAAGTCCAGCTGCTCGGGGGAGGGGGGGGGTGGCTGTGGCCTTCATGTCCAGCAGTCACCTGGGCGCTGTGTCAACAGACTGCAGTGGATCTAATCCCCAGGATCAGGTTGCCGTGGAAGGCCACATCTGAGCAAGACCCACAGAGCTGCTGGAGGCGCTGGCTGGTGGCCTTGCTGTATGGATGGCAGGCACTGCGCTGTGCCACACAGGCTGCCCGGAGCAGGTACAGTCAGCAGTCAGGGCCCCTTCCGGTACCAAAGTTCTTGGTTCTGTTTCCAGTTTCAGATGGCCCCATTTCCTGTATTCCGGTGGCTGAAGCTGGCCCGCTTTGTGCCCCTGTGCCTTGCAGCTAGCGCAGCTGTCCCGCCCATGGCAGGTAGAGGAGAGCCGTGCAGGGTTTCTTGGCAGAGCAGCAGCCTGGCCCTGTGGCCATGGCCAGGTTGGTGCAGGTTGACAGGGCTGTGTGGTCCCTCACCACACGATTCTGAGCAGAGACATCCTAGTCTTGGCATTGTCAAGGCCTGTCTATGCCTGAGAGAGCTGCAGGACACCAGCCACTCTGGGTTCTCACAAGGGAGCCCCTGCCCTGTGCTAGCTGGCCACTGACTGGAAGTAGCATTGCTGAGTGGGCCACCGGAGACCCATCCTCTCCAGGTCAACCTCACCTCACAGCTGGACACTGGACATTGTCTTCCCTGCTAGGCACTGCTATGACACTGGTCGCTGCATGGAATGCATACACCTGTCCCTGCCCGGTACGGCAGACCTCGGGCCCTGGCTGCTGCTGGGAGCTGAAGGGCCGGGCTTTTCAGGTCACACTCGGGATAAAGCCATCGCTTCCAGCTCACAGACTGTGAGGCGCAGTTCGCCGGTTTTCTGTTGCCCCTCCCAGGCTGGTTACTTCTCTGCCAGCTCAGCAAAAGCACAGCCTCTGAACTGCTTTTTTAGTAAAGCTGGCTGCTCATGTAGTCGCCTCATCCTGAGACTATTTGGTGGGTCCTCCTGTGTTCAGAAACTGAGCCCTGCTGGAGACAGCTCAGTGGCATAAGCACCTGCCTGACAAGCACAAAAAGCTCAGTTCAATCCCCAGGACCATTAAAAAAAAAAAAAAAAAAATCAGTGCAGAAACAGCCTTGTCAAACATGAGGCAGGCATTGGATGGGGTGTGGCTGGGAACACAAGCGCCAGTCATTCTGGATAGCAGTCAGTTCAGCAAGTGAGTACAAGCAGAGCAGAGGGGACAAGGACTGGGGCAGGTACGGCTTGGGGGCCCGGGGCACAGGCATCAACACTGCCTTGGCTGTCTGTAGGCCCTGTTCCAGACATGGCAAGGTACAGAGCTGGAAGCCTGAGATGCAGAAGCCCCTCCTACACTGAGCTGCTTTCCTTCGCCTCTCTGGGTCTCCTGTGTGAACATCAAACACAAGCCCCTGCCACGCATCATTTTTTGCCTGCAGCCTGAACCCTACTTCTGGTTGCTGCCAACCTGGGCCTTTCTCAATTTGTAGCTCCCCTCCCCTTCACGTGACAAGCTCCCCAAGTGTCTGTCTTCCCAGTGGTCTCTGTCTCTCCCATGTGTCCAGATCTCTCTTGTTGGACCACCAGCCACTGATTAGCGCCCACCTCATCCCATCTTTGTCCTGTCTGCAAGGACTGTGTTTCAAATAAGACCATCCTCATGGGGTTCTGGTGGAAGTGCATTTGGGGCTCAGAAGTAGGCTGAGGCAGGAGCATCCCCTTCTCACTTGCAGAGCTATAGCGCAGGCTTCCCACACATTAGATTCCTGTGTGAGCTTGGAACATGGTGCAGCAACTTGGAAAGAAGTTCAACAGAGTTTGTTAAAGTTGTAGTGAAATTTAACACAGTACAGCAATTCCACTCACACACGTGTGCACAGAGAGCAAGGGAAGTACCACCCGCCCGCGCAAAGGCATACACACAGATGTTCCCCGCAGCCTTATCGCAGCCAGAGTCCATCAGCTGCTGCACAGATACTGAAAATGGGTGCCGTCCTACAGTGGAATAACATTTGGCCATTAAAGAACGAAAGGCTGATCCTTGATACAGCATGGATCAACCTCAAGAGCATCACACTAAGTGAAAGAAGCCAGATGGTAAGTATCCCATATTACGTGAGTCTGCTTACACCAAGTACCCAGGCAAACATGCAGAGACAGAAAGGAGTTAGTGGATGCTGCAGGGTGGTAGAGGGGACCAACAGCAGCTACAAATGGGCACTGAGACTCTCCTGAAATGACACAGGAAGTGTGCTCAGCTTGGGCTGTTGTGAAGATTACACAAGGTTACACATTTACTAGCGTCATTCAGAAATGTCGGATGGATGGCTTATAAATTATGCCTCTAAATCTACTAAAAATAAATGACTGAGAAAAGACAACAAACGCACAGGCAGCAAGGTGCAGCACCTGGAGGTGGGAGCCCATACTGGCTCTCCGGCTTCTTGTGAGGCCCTGGGCCATTCCATTTTTTCTGCCTAAGAGGGTAAGGATAGCGCCTGCCTGTTAGGTCATCACAAAGCTGGAATGAGTTGATTTTTGGAAAGTGCTTTCGTCAGTACCTGGTACATTGTATGTTACATGTGAATAATTAAAATCATGTCTGTTGTGCCCAAAGATTTGTGGGGTTTGCAGGGTTTTCTGATCCCAGAGAGGGAAGGCCGGACCCGTGGGCAGAGAGAAACACTGTTCCTAGACTTGTCCCCTTATGCCAGTCTCTTACCTTCTGTAAGTCACGCTGCCGCAGGAGACAGCTGCTTCTGCTCCCTGTCTATGTGGCGGGGATCACAGGCACACATCAGCTGTAATACCAGTAGACCCCTGGAGGAGCCTGGGGCCGAGGTATGGGGAGTGTGGGAGTGGGAGGGAGGACAGACTGCGTGGACTTGAGTCATTCCTACAGTCACTGGTAATATCACCCGGGCCCCTCCCAGCACACCCCACACTAAAGGCCAGCACCATGGACACAGGAAGTAAACACACCATCTTCTGTCCAGGCCATGAACTTCTGTTAGAGCAGCTTGCAGGGCGGAAGGGTGGAGGGGAGCGAGGGCCTGGAGAAAGGCCCTTGCAGTTGGTTCCACAGCCCAGGCCTGGCTAGCTCCCAGTGAGGGCGGAGCTGCTCTACCCTCTCTCCCCTGTGCCTCCCCTGGGTCCCCATTCTCTGGGGGTGTGGAGTGAGCCAGCATCCCCTCCCTTCCAGAAGCCCCCATAGACTTGCACAGTGATCCCTGTGGGTATGCCCAGGAGCCTCTCAGCCCCACTCCACCCAGGAAGCAGACCGCACATCCGTCTGTCTGTGGTCATAGATACACAGTGGAGACCACAGATAGTGCCAAACACTCTGTGCAGGAGAGGAAGCTTCCCACGAGTACGACATGGATGCGTGCGCTTCAAAACCATGCTAAGCGAAGCGAGCCAGAGCCCAAAGCAGAGGCTGTAGGACATCATTTCTGTGGAGGTCTGGTTGTGACCTAGAGCAGAGGACAGTGCGGGCACTGGGGCCGAGCTTGGGGCTTGC